AAATCTTTTTTTCATGGTACTAAAACTGCTTTACAGTTTCCTTAATAACTCATAAAGAAACAACCTACATGTTCAATAGGTTGAAAGGAAACAGTAATGAGCAATTAAATATTATCTTATATAAAAATATCTAATGGAAAGGTAAAATATCATGATATTTAAGTTTAAAAGGTAGACAATTTAACAGTATATTTTATAAGATATCAATTTAAAAATTTAAAATTTCTATATGAAAAGAAAAAAGTTTCAATTGTATATTTTATATTCCATTCTCTTCTTTGTGCTTTCTATAGCTCCTAAATTTTCTACAATAGACACACTTTTAAATCAAAGTTACAAGAAAACGTTAAAGAGAAAAATTATTGTAAAACAATATTCAGTAAAACATTTATAATAATTAAATGTTAGTGTAGATGAGCCAGAAAGGAGGTGGGGCACAAAAAAAATCGAGTAGCAGCTGTAAAGAGACTCACTCTTTACAGTGATTGACCCAAGGCACCAGTCTTCTACCAGGTTCCAGAAAGAAGCCCAACACAAGTCTCCCAAGTATAAAATTGAGGGTAGCTGCCCTCAATTTAAAGAGCTCAGTATATGACTTCCCCCAATTGGGCAATAATTGTATAAAGCACTGGCCCAAAAATGTGTGGCCAAGGTCCACACCAATGAAAATTCCCATTCTCCTATCCCAACAAGAGGTCAAAATGTAATAATTTCTGTGCATGTCAGTCCCTAGCCAATTTGCCTGTCCACCACAGACACTTTGTCTATTCTTTACCTTGTAATAAACCTGCCCTACACACTATGTGTCTCTGCATCATTGTATACTTTTGCATTTGTACCAGGATAATTGCTTAATCTTAGACAATTATACCCAAGGATTGAGACTAAACCACAACACTCCAATTAACTCTCAACTTCTGGTAATGTTATAATTATATCAAGAAGCATATGGCTAAGAAAGACTGGAATGAAATACAGCAAAGTCTGATAGTCTATTATAGTGGCTGCAATTATAGTTGATGTTTCTCATTTCCTCCACCTTTCCCAATTTTGGCAATGTGGTTATATTATTTTACAATAAAAAATAATCATTAAAATTTTGAAAGATTAAAAAAAGAAAAAAACTCAAAAGGGAGTTGTGCCCCCAGAAGTTGGATTTAGTTTTTTGGCTTTTCTAAAACACTGAGTCGGGGCTGGGGATGTGGCTCAAGCAGTAACGGGCTTGCCTGGTATGCGTGCGGCCCAGGTTCGATCCTCAGCACCACATACCAACAAAGATGTTGTGTCCGCTGAAAACTAAAAAATAAATGTTAAAAAAAAAATAAAAAAAAATAAAACACTGAGTCATTCAACAGTTACATATCCTCTTCTCTAATTTGTAAAATGGCACAGTAATTACCTAAGACCCTCCCAACCTCACTGGTTTGTTGAACACAAGGCACTTCGGGAATATCAGAATTATATTATCTAAAGGTTAGACTATTTCTTCCCTGATCCCCCAAGAATGCCCACACACTCTTCTAACCTGCTCAAACTTGATGTTCCAAGCTGTCTGGATGCCCGTTTGGTATCATATGATGCAAAGTGAAAGCTATTTGTTGCCATATCTGCTTGAGGAGACCTGTGAATTTAAAAAGGCAGAGTGAGTTTTTATTTTTTTGTCCTATGAGAAAAGTCTATAAGAATTCAAGTTCACAATGTAAGCCTTTCAATTATTTTGTACATACCACTTCCATTCTCATCACTTTCTGAAAATGTAGTAACACAAATCTACTGCCATGCATTGAATATTCCTGAAATATGGCCCCAACAGACTGATCTTATTTTTTAATTTATTCTAATGCACAAAAGATAAATTGAAATCTCATAGCTTTCTACTCAAAACCGCACTGTATCTTGTACATACCCTCCTAAATCTTTTCCCAAGTAAATCTACTCATTATATTTTTAATAAACTGTCTAATTTCCCATTCTATATATACCATAGCAAGCTGAAGGAACACACAGGTGAAGACCAATCAAAATCTTAAACTTTATTGATCCAGAGGTACCCTGTAGATACAACTAGGGGTCAGGTCCACTCAGAGAAGGAAACTTACAGAAAGTTTCAGAATAAGCCCTGTCCTGTATTGTAACTGATGCCAATCTTTTTCAGCTTCCACTCACCTAATAGCACACATTCCAATAAGAAGAACTACAGTTATCAACAAAAGGGGCAGTTATCAACAAAAAGGACTACTGACTGTGCTAACTTTATGGAATCTTTTTTTTAATTTTAAGATATAAAATGCCCTCAGTAAAAGTGGAGTATGATTATATCCCACCTTTCACATTTTCCAATTCCCTATAATATTTTATATTTGATATAAATCTTATCCTAGACATATCAAATTCCCTAAATTTTATACATCAGTCAAGGAAAGTCAAGGTTCTTCTTAAAAGGGTAGTTGTATGTGGGGTCAGGGAGGGAAGAAAAATCCACAGATGAAGGTAAATGTAGTTTGAAGGCTTATTCTCCAACACAAAAACTTTTCACTAATAGAAAACAGAGAGCATGTATATAAGTAAGACTGTAGATGATTTTGATCTGGACTGTTTCCCCCAAGGCTCCTTTGTTGAAGATTTGGTCTATGATGCAGCAATGTTCAGAGGCAGGCTTTAGGGAAGTGACTGGATCATGAGAACTCTGACTTCATCAATGGATTAATCCATCAATGGATTCATAGCTGAATGGATTATTTGGAAGGTAGAGAGAACTATGGCAGGACCTTGTTGAAGAAAATGGGTCCTTGGGGTATGCCCTTGGGGACTATTATCTTGTCCTTGGCCCTTCTCTCTTTCTCTCTCTCCTTCCTGGCCTCCAAGAGGGGAGCTATGCTCTGCCACAGCCTTCCACCATGATGTACTCCCTCACCACAGGCCTAGAAACAATGACATCAGCTGACCATGAACTGAAACCTCTGAAACTGTAAACCAAAATAAACCCTCCCCCTTTGTCTTTCACAAGTATCATCTCACAGTGACAAGAAGCTAATGCAAGCAAAGGCTGGAACTCTGCAGCACAAACACGACTCACAGGAGAAGCCCCCAGGAGAGTCACAGACATATGGCTATCCGTGCTGAATATGCCAGAATTACTCTATCCGTCTCAGTCACTGTGTGGACTTAGTTTTCATTCTTATGTTCCTCAAACAGGACTCTCAACAAACAAGCAAAGTACAGGCATTTATCTCCACAGATGCACTAATGTACTGCAACTCATTGTGGTGCAGCACCTGCTTCTAAAGCTATACCCTCTGCAGGTCAGTCAGGTGCACCTGGATGGGCCACTCACATTCAGCACACTCACAGTATGTTTAGATACAGATCTAATTCATTCATTTAAACTACAGTATGGTATTTTATCAAGAACCTATTTTCCCATTTTATTTTTTATAAGAAATGTTTCAGACAGAGAAAATGAAGAACATGCAGTATATCTGGAATCCATTTTTGTATACACTGTGAGCTAAATTTAACCCTCCTCCAGATAGACTATTAATAACTAATCCTTCAGCTTCCTGTTAGATTAGAAAGAAGACAAAAGTCAGACTGCAAGTCCTCTCAAAGAGCACTGCCTGACAGGCTCACCCAGGGAATATTTTGTTCTCTAAGGGATTTACCTCTGACTTGCTATTTACATTAAGAATTATACTCTGTAAAATGAGATGTTAACTTACAGATAATTTTGGTCTGGTAGATATGCAAATAATCTCTGTCTGAGGGGGTTATAGTTTTATTGCTGTGACAGAAACAAACCAATTTGGGATCTAACAAACCTTATTCCAATGCTTTCTCTTCAGATGCCCAAATATTCTTAGAACTAGTTTCACAATCTTGATGATTTCCTCAAATCTTTCCATGTGTTGATTTTGTAATTATTATTCTTTGACATGCTGTGTTATTCTGTACTTGCCGACACAGAGCAAGTTCCCATGTGTAAGCAAGACAGTTTCTGGGTATTCTCTTATTCCACACCCTATCACAGTTTTCATTATCATGGCTCTCTGATAACTGTAAGCCAATGGGAGCAAGCCCTCTACTTTATTAAATAAGCTTTTTGGAGGAATGAGACCATTATTATGAAACCTTCACTTTTTTTTTAGTTGTTTACTTATTTGTTGTTGCCTTTTATTATTTTTTCTTATTTTCATTCTTATGAATTTTAGAATCAGTGACTGTAAGTTATGTTATTGGGGAATTCTGCAGGGAATTGTTGTCATACAAGATTGCTTCTTCATATTGCTATCAACACATACTGCTGTGATTTGAACATGGTTTGAAGTACCCTATGATTACAGGCTCAGTCCCGAGGTAGCACTGGGGGATGTTGCGGAACTTTTGAGAGGTGGGATCTAATGGGAGGTCCTTAGGTCAAGGGGGATGTAAAATAGTTCAACTGCAACCCTGTGAGCTCTCACAAGACCACTGTTATCAAAGGAGAAAGCCTCGCCTGCTGGTACTCTGTCTCTGCTCCTGTCAGGATGTGACTGCTCAACCCTTGAGAAGCTCCCACCACAATGTGCTGCCCAGCTGCTACCCTCACCACAGGTCAACCAATGGGCCCTCACCTATCTGATCTTGGACTTTGAACCTACACAACTATGAACTAAATACACTTTCATTTTGACTCAATTACTTTGTTGAAGTAACATAAAGCTAACTAACATTATTCAAGCCTTATTTTCTTGTTAAAGGTTTTAGTATATGCACACTGCACTGATGATAATGTATCCTTACAAAATAGCCATGTTGGATTCTTATATTGCTCTAATTTTAGAATCTATACCATCAAAATAAGCATAGTCATTAAAAATTTAACTGAAAAAAAAAATAATTGTTCCATTCCTGAGTATAATCTGAATATTATACTCACATGTTGCGGGGGGGGGGTGTATTTTTTGTAGAGAAAAAACAGTATTATTTGGTTGATAGAGGCTAAACAAAGTAACATGTTTCAATTAGAAATATTATTACACTGGAAAATATGCCCTATTTTTTTTCTTTTTTGGTACCATAGATTGACCCCAAGATGCCTAACCACATTCCCAGTCCTTTTTATTTTGAGACAGGGTCTCATTAAGTTGCTTAGGGCCTAAGTAAGTTGCTGAGGCTGGCTCTGAACTTACAAT